CATATTTTTTTATTTATGGAGTTAAGTGCTCTGAAAAGTTTCAAATCAATATTATATAAATTTGTAATAAAAAATATTAACCGAAAATAAGTTAAGTTTATCAAGTTAAGTTTATAAGTTTATTGTTCTTAATAGCAGCGGTAATGGGCCTTTTGGCGTCTGAGGACGAAGTATGTCGTGTACCCTTTTTAACATGTAAATGAAAGTTTTTCCTTTATATTTCCATTCATATTTTCCCTTCTTCTCTTTAAACATTTTCTTATATTTTAAAACATTTTCTAAAAAGTAGGCCTCTAGTATGTGATATCTTCATTTCGTGATCAATGACAAAGCAGATATAAAGCGGTTTTCTCATCTCATCTCATAGTTACTCTTCTTCTCTTAAAACATTTCCTTATTTCATAAAACAAGGAAAAATCCTCTAGAAAGTAGACCCCTAGCATGTGTTATCCTCACTCTGCTGGTCAATGACAAAGCAGATATAAAGCGGTATTCTCATCTTTAATCCAGACGCGACAAGAATTATTGAACAGATTACTTAAACTCCATTCTAGTTTATTAAACGAAAATAAGTTTAAAATCAAATCCTCTTTTTGACAACAGGTATTGAACAGATCGTCATGCTAGTTGACTAACCGAGAGTAAGTTTAAAGTCAAATCTGAGCTGAATCCTGTAATTAATAAAAAAAAATACTCAGCTTGCATTGAACATGTGAGTATGCCATATTGAAATATGATATATATATGTACAAACTTGCAAATCTGTCAATAGTTACTGATTTAATCAAAGACTTGTTCTTTTAATTCAATCAGTATTGTATTAAAATAGTTTTCTATATAGAAAACGTATGAGCTGTATTACCTGACAGTGATGGAATGAAGTATCTTGATATCTGGGGTCAAACTCTTACTCTCTTAAAGCTGTCAAATATGTTAATAATATCTTAACTTATATTGCAGAAAAGAAGAAAAGTTTTTAGTTTCAAAAATAAATAATTTTTCAATTACAAATTTGCTTAATATACACAAACTATATAATCTGGAAAAATTATTTGCTCTTGAGCCTCTTCAGCATATGATGTGTTTAATTTTAAAAATCTTTTCAAAACGGTTTGAAAATTTGAAAAATTGAATTAATTGAATATGTACTAAGGCTTCTAATACAGTAACCTAGCAGATCTTTAGCAATACAAGTCAATAATTGAAATAACTAAAGGAATTATGTCAGAATAACGAAAACTAAAATGTTCTTTATTATGAAGTTCTCTTGGCTAAAAGTTAAAGCAGACAATCACACAGTTAATTAATATAAAACCCTATTCCCTTCTCGACAGTTAAGGTATACTCTCTCATCAGACAGTTTCATCTCCATTATATTCCATTAGATAACACATTAATATGCTAAGGAAAAGCATATATAAAAGAAAACATCAGCAACAACATATATATCTATCGAAAAAAATCGATTATTGATTAATATGTAAAACATAAAATTAAATAAAAAATATGAGTAAAAACATTTCTTCAAAAATAATAAAATAATTTCGATTTAATTTCAATCTGAACGCATATTGAGCTTTTACATGAATTGGAGTTGCTCAGATACTTCTTTGCTTACTAAGACTCTCCAGCAAGTGGTTAAGAAGGGACAAAATTTCATAACGAGATTTTAATTTGAAAGACGAAAATGAATTTATGATTTCGAAACGGGTTGAATGGTTTGAAGTGGTTTTGGGTTTCTGCCCATATACTATAGTGCGTATGGCTATGAATTCGTAGTGATGAGCAGTTATTGTTGAGTTTTTTCTCAAATATTTATTATACACACAGAATTCGACTTTCTGTTTTTACAAATATAAATAAAATATTTGATTTTAATATTGCTGACACATAATGATGCTGAGAATTTTTCGAATTTTTAAGCAGAGTAGAGCAATAATAAAACGCTTCTAACAAATTTGTACATTAAACTGCAGATGCTCTGTGGATTTGTATATATACACATTAATTTTAACAACTGCACAATTGTATTCAAATTTATTCAGTAATGTAGTACTGTGAACAAAAAGTATTTACCCCTAACACATAGCATTGGCAGTTTGAAGCAGAAAGAATATGCATTTTAGATAAAATAATATTTAATGCTAAATAAGATTATTCAACTAAAGTAGACATGTAAGCTTATTTGGATAGGTCAAAATCTTAATTGTAGCATAAGGAATGCGTTTTTTTAATGTTAATGTGAGCGAAAGCCTTATACTTTTAGGGGTGAGGTTTGTTATTCATTTGAACGTAAAATTATTTTATATACGCATTATATGAATTAAATGCATTTTAAGTACATTAACAGAAACTTGCGTAATGCGATTTGTCTGATTAATGTACATTTAACTATTAAGTAAACACCCTCCATTCCTCTATGAATTTATTTTTAATACTTTATTCATACAAACCGAATGACTAATTATGAGGCCATTGTTAATTTAACCGTCCTGTGATAAAAACTATTTGAAATTGACGGAAAGAATGTAGTTAAAAGCATTTTAATACTACAATTATTATCTCTTAGAAACCAGTTCTTTAACAGTATTTAAAAATTATTTAAAACGAACTTAATTAAATTTTAACATACTTCAATATTCTTCAGATACTGTCATTACTCACATCTATAGATTGGTTATAATTATATTATAATTATATTTGTGATAGTTCTAATTTATCAAATTTTTAAATGAATGCATTTCATAATGCTTAATATATAAAAATAATTTGTTGTTATCCTAAGAGGTTATCAAAAAAATTTATGCGACAGACCGAAAATGAATATTGATCTAAAGTCAATATTGATGTTTAACTTCATTTAAAAATGTGTTTCATTAAGATATAAGTAACTTTCTTAGTATATAATTGTAATCATATCGATTACGAAGTAAGCCTCTTCACTTTACTGAAATATGCAGTCAGTGCACAGAAAAAACGTAAAAAAAACCATTCAAAAGATTACGAAAAATAAAAATTTGAAAGAGGTTTACACTGTAGAAAATCAATTAAAGCATTATTATTAAAAAATTAATTATTTTATTTCACAAATATTACATTATATACAATAATATATATTACAAAATTATAATAATTATTATATGCAAATGCAATTATTGCTTACGATGCTTTAACGAAAAATGTATTTGACCAACACTGCTTCAAGGCATAAAGGTGAAATGTGTACCGCACTAGATGTAGGAGACTGAAGAAGGTGCACACACAGCTGAGGCGGCTGAAGAGGCACACAACATAAGGCCAAAACGCTCAGCATATAGTATATCTGACCTATATACGTTTGCTACGATGTATACAGACATATTGGTTGATCTTTCGGCGATATGTACGTTTTGTAATTTCAAGTACTGTATTAACCGTCTCAGTTTCATCAAACCAACCAACATGAACTTCCTTCATTGCTCAAATATATTTCATCGACATAATTTTGTAATTCATGTAACTCCTTATATATAACATATATAACATAACACCCACAAATATATACAAAACACCTCATTGTCTACATACCAACTTCGACTTCTATACAAACTCCTTAAAGAACTACTTTCCCCTTTTCATATTAGAAGTTCCTCAACGGCTGACATTTTGGCTTTCATTCGAAAGGCGAAATGTCTTTTCTTTGGTTAAGGTCTGTTGCAGATCAAAAGATCAACTATGGTCACGGTGCTCCACTCTGTTAGGAGCTGGTACCTTATTTATTTCTGTTCTATTCTAATCCATAATACTGGGTAATTGGCGATTTCTTATAATAATAAAAGTGGAACTTTTAAAATTGGAATTAATATATAAAAAAGCACAATATTCAAAAGCAGTAGAATGCTTTTGACGATATTTATTTATGAGTCTTCTACTTAGACAATAACTTCAATATGAAAAATAAATATGTACAGTTTTACAAACATACATTTTAATGCGTTTATGTTTAATATGGCTGGGTGCAAGAGTAAAAATCTTACCTGTAATAAAAATAAACAATTTGCGGTTTTGTATCGTATAAGTACGTCACACACCTTCTTTGGTGCAAAATATCCTGTCTGCTGCATATAGGCCAAAACGTACACAACCACATGAGTGCAGAAGCTCATGAGAACACCTGTTGAGAAAAGTAAACAAATCGCAAACACACACACAAAAATTCCTTCGCACGCACGAGTATGCAAGGTTAAATACTGTTTTGTTGATGTATGTGCTTAACATATATTTTTTATCTGCTTTTATCCTTTTGTTTGGGAACATAACAGTTCCGCATTTTGCAACATGTGTCCTAGCTAAGTGTGTCGTCGCACTGGGAGGTTTTTTTTGAGTATTTTTTTAATGCTTTAATGGCTTGTCTGCATATGTGTGACCTCCTGTCACGGGATTGAAGGAAGCGAAAGTAAAAGCAAAACAAAATACCATACAAAATATGAACGGCATTAGAGACTACGCCGAATAGCCTATGTTTTGTTTGATCCATAAAAGCATTACATATCAATAGAAATAGTGCACATATAATTTTTTATTCTTCTTCTTAAAATTGTAATTAAAGGCTAGTTATTTTAGTTCCATTCAACAACATAACTTAATACTTAATATCATAAATAAATACAATTTTTTGTTGATAAATACTGCACACAAATAGTTGCTTTGCAAATCAATAATTACTACAAAATTTTAGTTTACAATTATTCTTCAAAAACTGATAGTTAAGGATTTAGCATTATTAATTCAAAGGTATGTTGTATAAACTCCTGTAGCATGCAATGCAACATCGTTGCGGTTGCAAATTATGTGTAGTTATTTTGTACATAGTTTTTGCATTTGCATTATTGCAGCTTGTACTCTCAAATATA